CCCTACGTCCCCTGTTGTGGCTGCTCCCATGCCTACCTTTGGGTTACCAAGTAGACCCGAGGGATGGCAGCGACCTAGTGATCATTCGGAGAGACCAGTCCGTCCTTCTAGCGTGGAGGTGCCACGTGGATCGGATATTCTCTCGAATGAGGCCAGCAGGGTGGAGCCGAAGAATTGCTCCAAGATATGTGACATTGTCCGAAAGTGGGGTTTGAAGTTTGATGGACGTAGAGACCCTGTGTCATTCCTGGAGCGTCTTGAAGAGCTGATGGTCTCGTACTCTATATCGTCGGAGGACCTGCTCAGAGCGCTACCGGAGCTGCTGCAAGGTTCAGCACTTCTGTGGTATAGGAACTGCAAGGAGCTCCTGTATTCTTTTGAAGCTTTCCGGCATCAACTTGAGATCCAGTTCCTTCCACCTGGTTATCAGAGGAATTTGGATGAGGAGATCCGGAAAAGGACGCAGGGTGAGACCGAACACTTCCGAGATTATGTCGTGGCCATAAGTACCTTGCTTAGGCGTAGCGGTACGTTGTCAGAGCATGGTAGATTGGACTTGATCTACAACAATATGCGTCCTGAGTACAAGCTGATGGTACGCCGGCGTGACTTCAGCAACCTGGCCGAGATGGTGGAGTTGGCTGAAGACTATGAGGCCTATCTGCGAGAGAAGGCGGCCTTCCGACCTCCTCCTTCTCCAAACGTAGCGCTGGTTTTGGAAACCGCCTACGCACCCAAAAAGAAGGTGGAGAAGCGATCCGAAACTGCCGCATTCGAGAAGCGGAGTTTCGAGAGACCATCTCCGGAAGCCGAGTCGCTTGAGCGGGTAGCTTGGAAGTTGAATCGGGTCCACGGTCAACGGCCCGTGACAGCAGCTAGAGCGCCTGAGGGTCCAAAGGGGACGGCGAAGTGTTTTAGGTGCCAGGAGATTGGTCACTTTGCCAGAGGCTGTGGCAAACTGAGGACCGTCTCCTGTTTTGGATGTGGCAAACCCGGTTTGACGGTAAATCAGTGTGGATGTCGGGCGGGAAACGGCAGGCCAGCTCAGACATCAGGAGGTCAACTGGGCAAGGCCATCCAAAACCTCAGAAGACCTCAGAAGAGTGGTCCGAGTGGCTCGGAAAACTAAACAGCCTGGTTGGTGGGGTAGACGAGAACCGGCTGGTTTCGGAGACAAGGCCCTTTGTTGAAGTTGTGCTGATGGGCAGCGTTTTTAAGGTGTTATTGGACACTGGGTCCGTAGTTAACCTGGTTGGGCGAGAAGTCGCCGATCATCTTCAACGCCAGGGGGTCGAGCCTTTTAAGAAACCCGCTCCTCTAAGGATGGCAGATGGGACACAGTCAACGGCCGAGTATTCGTTTCGGCTAGCAGGAGAAGCTGCGGGAAGACGGTGGATAGGGGATGCCTTGTATGTCCCCACTCTCACCACGGACATGATTCTGGGTATGGATGTCATCCGAGACCTCGGATTGGTGGCGTGTGGGACAGAGGTAGTAAGAATGGGCGTGGGTGATGACTGTTCTGGCCAAGGTGGCCGCATGGACAGTGTCAAAATTGGTGACGAAGACCCCGAAGGCCCTTGCAATGGAAATCCCCGTCTGGTTCCTGATGCCAAATCATTCAGCACCACGTTGGCTGGTAGTGGCGAGTAGAAGAGTTTTTCTTTGTTTTGCTTTGAGACCCGTGGTAAAAGAGGAATCATTGGGTTAAGAGCCGGAGTATTTTGTTTTGGCCGGAGTTCAAAGATTTTTTTTCTTTTTGGCCGTTTTCTTTTTTTTCATCCCGATGTAAGTGGGGGATGTAACGAGTTATTTTTCCTAGGGGGGTAAATATTTGCTATTTGGCCGCGCACCGATTGTTGAGGTAGGCAAGCGGCGGCGGCGAACCTGGCTAGCGCCCTTTGACCCGGCTTATCAGTGCCGATAAGCATGGGATATCCTAGTTTCTCAGGATAGCCTAGGACAGACATTCGAGTGGTGGATCCCGTGCAGTGAAGAGTGTTGGTGTCTGGCTGAGACGTCGGTGGTGTACGTAGAGAGGAGTGAACGTGACAAGTGGTGTCGGAGAACGTTGGTGGTGTGATCGCGCCGAGTGTTGGTGTAAGTTGGGTACAGACCCACTATCGGTGAGTGGACGACGTTCCTTACTTTTTGGTTTAAGAGTTGAAAGTTGTTACTAAAACACTCATCTCTGATTTGATTGCGAGAGTTAGAGTTGTAACCGTGCTGGTCAAAGCCTGACGGTAGTTAGGATTTATATTAGTCAGGAATAATATTAAAGTATATTCCTGACGGTTCTGGGCAGGTGCTAGAGCGCAAATAATATAATTTATTGACTGTAGTAGTTATTATTTTGCGTTGTACCAAGAGTTAGTTATATTACTAATAACTCTGAGGCCCGACAAACCTAGGCTGCACGATTTAGCGTGCGTAGTTGGAAGCACGAGGCCAGTAGGCTAGTAGCTAGTTTTATTAGCCTATTAACAGAAGCCCGACTAAGCAATATAACGTTGATATAGTAGCAGTAGTGGTAGTAGCAGTAGGGTTGGTATTGATTAATCATTTAATTATTTTAATTTAACCTGAACAGCTTGCTTAGTAATCCAACACGTTAGCTTGGTAGCTTGGATAGCGGAGTACCGGCTATCAGATAAGATATTTATCTAGTGTTTGGAACGTATTTAATATTTATTATTTATCTGCTACTAAGTAGCTCAATATTTTAATAGTGCAATTGCCATTTAGTTTTGCTTGTTTGGCTTGGTATTTATTGAGACCAGCTACTAGTGGTGTAGTCACTCTACCTATAGTGTACTTGTATATTATTATGTGGTACGATTATTGAGTGAACTGTTTGATTCTTAGCTTGGGCATTAGAGTTGTGTATTGGATTATAGTGGCCTAGTAGACCCCGCCTGGTGATAACACGCGTTGTGGTTTTTATTGGCAAGTCGTCGTGTAACTCACCGTGTTTTAGGCACTCTGGGCTTAACTATTGGATAGTTAGGACGAAGCCCGAGTTGCGTAGTCAGCAACGACCCCCTAGGAGTGTGGAGAATCGGCGTAGGCCTGGTAGTGATTATTGCACGTTTGTTTTGTTTTGGTGACTTGTTTTTGACTTGTTCACAGTGCCCGTGTATGAGCCAGTCCTATACCGGTTAGACCCGGCTTTTGGCCTAGTGGTTTCCCTGACCTTATCGCAGACCCTGGAACTTTACCCAGCCATTGTAGGCTGAGCTATCCCCGGCAAACGGTTGCGACTGCTGCACTTTTAATACTATATTTTCCCAGTGCAGAAAACAGCGTCGCAAATTTTATGTTTTCTCTGCACAATCAACAAAAAATTTAATTAACTGGGGAATTATGGGGAGGGCTCGAGCCCCCTCCCCCCAGGCCATATTGATGCAAACCGGTATAACAGTGTAGAAATGAACTGTACTGTACTGGATCAATTTCAAGGGACAGGACACTGGGACCGGGTATTGGTATTAGAAAGACATCACTGTCGTGGTTTCACATATCTCTAATCGACTGAGCCACCAAGTCCCTATGGATTGAATTTTTAACACACGTGCACTTATTTTATAATAACATTTTGTGTTTCTCAATATAATATATCAATCTTAAGGTGGGATGTAGGATCTTCCTAATGTAAAATATTATCACTCATTTCATCCCTTTCCCCCGAGGCCTAAAAAGACTCTTTTCGACCCTAGCTCAAGTTTCAAGTCAAGCCAAGGGTTTTTTGCCCCTCTGCCTCTGATGTTTGATGAACTATATTTTTTGTCATATTACAACATGACATATTTTACAAAATATCAAGATTTATGATGACCTTTTAATAATTGAATTTGATTATTTAAACTGAGATTAATAAAACATTAGTTTGGATTATTTTTTTTTTTAATGAAAAGATGATGTACCTATAGTAATTGGATTGAAAATTAATGGTGGAAGGTTGTTTGATTGCATAGAGCAGATCATTTTGATGGGAGCAAGTGTAACTATACATTAATAAACATGTATGGACGGTTATAGAATACCTATATGGGTCACCGCCCCCCAAAAAGTAGGTTCCTACGTAATATTGACATCAGAGATCGGGGGGGGGGCAGTTTTCCAGTCAGAACACTCAAGTTTCGTTGTCATACAATCACACTGTTCAAAACTAATCTAACCTTAGTAGGTAACCTAACCAACCAACAACCAAACTTGCTGTAACATTTAAAATTCTGTATGATAATCCCCACATGCCTTTTTTGTTATCAAACGGAATTACTCGACTTAAAATTAAAATAACATAGCATCACATTTTGCTAGGGGGGGGGGGAGTATTCCAGCCTCGGACCCGGCTCTCATATTGGTTAGTTGGCAGATTCGCAGATTTCATGACGCGTCACGTTTCGTTTCCCCTTTGGGTTGTGGGGGGGGGGTTGCCGGGGGGAGGGGATAGTATTCCGCATCCTCCTCGTACCATAGATAAAACATACTCCTCGCTCGTACCTACCTTTTATATCCACGGCCGCCTTTAAGGTGGCCGTGATTATATCGTGTGACAAGAGCTGAGTGGAAGATTGTTGAGTGGGCGGGGCTGAGGGGATAGTATAAGCATGGTATAAGTATAGTGCTGCGACGAAAACTTGCTGTTATGGCTTCGTCCATCCCTAGACTAAAAAGACTTTTGTGAATACTTTAAAAATTAACTGGAAGCCCAATGTGTATTTGGATCCAGGATCAACTTTGCTCGGGATCGAACCAGCAGCCTCCAGGTTTTAAGACAAAAACTTTGACAACTAAACTGACCACGAATTGAACCACTGAGTTTAGTTTTTGTGAAATGAAGTATTACCCCACCAGCACACTTAAATACAAATAATCAACAGTATATCATATCACATGTATACGAAAATGTGTTACTTTAATTGTGCATCAGAATTTTGACTGAAAACTTGCGCATGTGTTGTGTTGTGTCTAACCTGCATTGGCGTCTGTCTGACTGTCTGTCATCTTGAAAGCTACCAAAACTCTGTCCATGTCGGTGTAATAAGGAAAATTGCTCGAAATAATGAATTTATGTTGTAAAATATTTATTCATTTTGTTGATTGATTATTGATTGGCGTTAAGACTCTCAACAGTTCATTGATATTAGATCTATAAGTTTATAGCCCGAAAATGACGTGGGGATTTGTTACTTGTGGTCCTAATGAAGCTCTTGTCGTCTCTGGTAAGTTTACTGTCATTTTGTTGGGGGGAGTGGTTTGTTTATATTTCTTAATATTACTGGATTCAAGAAAAGTATGTTAAGCTTACAATATACTTTTTATTTAAACTCTTGGTTAAAGATTTCAAGAACTCACATTTCAAAATTGAATATCTTCAGCCATGCCATACATAGACTAACGTGTGTTTTATTTAATGCTTCAGCTCAGTTATGGAACTGCAACTGAGTGGCCCAGCAATATTTATAGATTAAGTTAGGCCTACTAAGTTAAGTTTAGGCTTACTTAGTCCACTATAAAAAATTAGAGAACCGTATCATATTTTTTTAAAGTTTGAATGAAGGATAGGTCTAGCCCTAATTCATATTGCGGGAACATAACTTATTATTAACTTAATCAAAATAGGCTAGCTGGTTAGCTGAGTAAAATATAGGCCTAACTTATTCGATTGTTTAGTAAGTTAATAAGTACGGTAAGTTAGATTGCTGGTTCAATCCTGAGACAACGTCTATAATATAATATTAATAAGTTAATTCAGTGTCTTATTAATCGTTCGAAGCTGGACCTTCATCATTTGGCTTTTGATAAATAATCCTTGCTAGTTAGGTACTAGCTAATCTTCGCCAGTAACTTAACAAAGCTGTCATCTAATTTATCATACACTCATCGCTCATCTTTGCCTTAAAATATGCACCCTTTTGTGTCATTTCTGTAAAAAAAAACTCTCTCTAGGCTATTATCTAACTTATTTCTCTCTTCATCTAATGTAGGCCTATATAGCCTATCCACTGGCCAAATCAAAGCAAACCAAAAAGTGTTTGGTAGAAAAAGAGCAAACTACTCACTCAGGTGAGGCCATACTACTCACTGACAGAGTAGGCCTACTTTGAGGAGGAATGAAAAGGGCCAATATTTTTTACGACCACGGCACAGGGACGCTTCCAGTGGGGAAAAACAAAAACAAATCCATGCAATATGCCTAAAGCCTCATTTGCAGGAATGTTAAAAATTGTAAAAGTTGTAGCTAGGTACATTTTTAACAAATATAGGTAATATTAAAATGTTACAACCCTCCCCCCCCCTTCCCAAACCAAAAGGATGCTGAAGCACCTTACAAATTAAACCTAACATTTTTTCTAGGATGCTGCTACAACAAGCCTTTGCTGGTGCCAGGAGGACGAGCCTTTGTATGGCCTACCATACAATGTGTTCAAAGGTAAGGAATTATTTATTCTAGCCTTCTAGTATTAGGCAAAAAGAAAGCTGACATTAATTTTTTAATGAGTCAAAATCTTGCTTTGATGTACCTAAACTTACACATTGTTAATAAGAAATAAGAACAGAGTAAAGAAAATTAAAGTTCAGCTGAGTTGAACCTCCATTTTACTATCTGAAATTTAAACAGAAGGGAACTTTGTGTACTAGAAGTGCCAACTGGTGTGCCGATTCGGTAATCTTAAAACCCGTTGGTTGCATTTAGGGGTTTTAAGTGTATCTACTTTGAAAATGGCCTTAATCCTATAGCAGTCTTAAAATTTTTGGTTTGGTGAGCGGTGTTAACACTTCGGCCCAGTAAAATTTCGGCCAAACTCAAATTTGTTAGCCTGCCATAAATACCTCATAAGGGTGTTGTCAGGCACCTTCAATGGCCTTTTAGTAAAAAAAAACTTTTAAACCATCATCCCCACTTTCTAAGTTTTCAATTAATAAATTGGTGATATGCACCTGCTATTACAACAACTCTTCATGATGCACTGATGTAGATTTATAGTGTAGAGGGCAAAAGACGGTGCTCACAGTGAAAAGGGGTTGGCTGATGCTGCGTGAACTGCTTGGAATGGAAACGGCGCGCCAACATTGTTGGGAGCTGTGCTCAAATCAACTTGAGCTTAGCTCCCAACATTGTTGGGACAAAATGTTTAAAGGAAACGGGGCATAAGATTGATTATTGAGCATGCCCCAGGTACTTTATAAAAGTATACCAATTTGTTTACAAAATTGCACTAAATTTTTATTCCTCGGTTGAACGTAGCAGCTTTTTTCCAGACAAAAACTTAGTTTGATTGTTTCCAGAATTTCCCTCAACACCATGACGCTACAGGTGGACTCCCCGACAGTGTACACAAGTCAAGGCGTTCCGATCTCAGTCACTGGCATAGCACAGGTAAATACAACCAATGAAGTGTTGATTTCTACTTTCTACTCTACAGAATAGAAAGGATTTGGGTGGAAATACGCATTTTGGGTCCCCCTGAGCCAAAAGTGGTTTTCCAAGTGATGTCTGTGTGTGTGTTTGGATGTGTGCAGAGCTACACATGTGGTACAATTTTGGTGACATTTTATATGTGGTAGGCCTACTAATCTATTGTCAGGGTGTTTTTTTTTTCCACAAAAAGGCTTGAAAGTTTTTGAATTAAATTTATTATGTTGTGGTGCTTTTAACTCTTACAAAATGGTATAACACTTTGAGGGTTTAAAAATTAAATATGAGGGCAAATGACTTAAGTACTGTATGAAATTTACAAAACAATAGGCCTACTACTGTAATATTTTACATGTTGGAGTTTTATTTATGATTTTACCTTCTAAAATATAAGTGTTATTTTTTCTCAATATAATAGTTATGTGAAATTGTTTTATTTATCATATCATCACATTTTCAAGGTGAAGATTCAGGGACAAAATGAAGAGATGCTGATGGCAGCTTGTGAACAGTTTCTGGGAAAGTCAGATCAGGAAATTCAGCACATTGCGTTGGCAACACTGGAGGGGCATCAGCGGGCAATAATGGGCAGTATGACTGTTGAGGTTGGTAGCACTGCTATCATAGCAGTATCTTTTACCTGACATATTGATATAGATTATAGACGTAACTGTGTTTTGAAATATTCGTAGAGGCAGTTCCCCTGTAGTTTTTAAAATTCTAGAAGAAAATATACCTATTCTCTATTATGTGTAATGCTTGATATATTCAGTTCCATTTAGATAGGAGGATGGACTGGCAGTACAGTACAGATTCTGTTTAGGTGATTATTCTATTTACCATTGAGTTGATTAATGCTATCTAGAACAAATTATTGACATAGATAACAAGACTCGTGGTTCGATCTGTTTCCCTTGGAAAAAATGTAACAAAATAATAATAATAATGTCTTTATTGCTGTCAGACAATTTTACACTGTATAGCTAAATGCCAATTTTATGAGTCTTTGGCTCAGTCGGTAGCGCTATGGACTTTGGGTCCAAGGCAGCGATGTCATGGGTTTGTATTCTGGTACTCGCCACTACTTTTCATCAGTACACTTCACCCTTGTACGGCTCACTCCTTGCTTTGCTGGATACGTTCCACTCACAGGCCCTTAGGCTATGTGGACGGGCAAGAGTTGAAAGAGGCCACCATGCTCAAAAAAATAAGCACTTAAGCTTGGCAACATTTCTTATTGATAAATCTAAAAATGACAAAGTTATTTTTTCAAAATTATTTTTTTACAATATATTACAAGTTGGTTAGATTTTTTCTTTTACAGGAGATCTATAGAGACCGTAAGAAGTTCAGCAAGCAGGTGTTTGAGGTTGCGTCGTCCGATCTGGTCAACATGGGTATCACTGTGGTGTCGTACACGCTCAAAGACATCAGAGATGAAGAGGTGAGTGCTGTTCTAGTAGCCTATCTGATTCTGTATTTTTCAATATATTTGTTGTCGTTAGATTACTAAAAATTAAAACTTTGTAAAAATCCATGGTCAAATTAATAAGAACAGTGGCTACTATTGCCATTGCCTACGGTACTAATTTTGTTAGTAATCAAATACAAAAATTACTGCCCTCCTTTTGAAAACCCTACCCAAAACCTTACGGAATGTTAAAAATTGTGTTTGTGAGTATCCTGTTTAGTAAAAAAAAAATAATTTGTGTCCACCCAATTCAAAACCCCTCCCAAAATCAATTTAACTTCTTTAGCGTGCAATTGGTGATGGTATTTTAATGTTGAAACCCTAAAGAATAAATTTTGTTTAAGAAGTATCCAAAATTCTTAAGAAGCTGCTAAGATGTTCATCAAGGCTAAATTATAATGTTGACTTAAGAAACAGCTGATTAGTCAGTAACATTGCTACAAACAAATTTTACCCAAATCACACTGTCCTTCATTAATATGTCGGAGCATGTATAGTTGCACCCTAATCTCTGATTGTAGTTCAGCGATTAAACCTAGTGATATCTGTACAAAACTGCATGCTGAAATAATTATTTCTGTATTTTAAATAATTGTACAATTTCATTATTATCACAATTTGAGTTTTTTATTGTATTATAAATTGTATGTCTTGATAACACGATATATTTACACTTACACTGTATTCACATACTTAAAAGAAGCGTGATGGTCTAGAGGTATATCACAAGGTCCCTGAGGTCTCGGGTTCAAATCCTGCCAATCACCAAAGGATTTTATCAATGTAATAATGCCGTCCAAGCTAAGCCTGAAGTAATGTGTAGAGTTTATCTGGACTAAAGCCTGCACCTAAAGATATGAAGGATGGACATAAAAAATAAGAAAATACATAAAGCTACATATAACTATGTACCTAAGAGTCACCTGTTGCTTTAGAAGATTATTTCAGTTATAAGATCAACAGACTTGCACAACGGAAGTGAAGCATCCATACATAACAGCACCAGACATGTATGGCCATTTTGATTTTCACCCTGTTATTTGTTGTAATTACACTGAAATCTTATTTGAAATTGAGTGCTCACTTTTAGAACAGCGAAATTAAGTAAGACATCGTATCCGTTGGCAGACAGACTCAATCTCATGTACTCAAACCTCAATTTGTGGTCCAATAGTAGTGCTCTGTTACTGCTCTTGTGATCGCCGTCTACAACAGGGGTAAGACCTCAAGTTACCTGTGTCTTACACATACCCGGAGAACATGTAGTTATGTGGCTGCTAAAGCCTCTTATGTAGTCTAGTTTAAATTTAGACTGTAAAACAAACAATACATATTGTACCGCTTTTAGTAAAGAGCGCTCTCCTGCACATAAGATTTACTGGCTTGAGGTATTTAGTCTCTTAGGTTTTCAAAATAGGTGGACCCACAAAATCAAGTGTGCCCCTAAACACCTTGGACAGTCAAAAATCATTTTTGATTGGCAGAATTTGAACCCACGACCTCAAGGACAGAAGTCCCACACTTTAACAACTAGGCGCCTACTTTGCAGCTCCATAAGACTATGTCTTGCATAAACTTTAACTAGTTTCAGTCTGTTTCGTGTTGAAACAATACTTTTACAAATTTAAACACTTTATTTGGTAACTTTTGGAACCTGGAGTTTCTGAGGCAAAGTTGTTATGTAACCGCAGTTGGTGAAGCATGAATACTCAAATAAATATTTGCATGCAAAGTGTTAAGAAATTCAACTTTAAGTTCGGCTTTTACGGTTTTAACCATTTATGCATTAATATAGATGATAGCTTAGATTGCATCTTACAATTCACAAGTATCCCGCGCATATTTCTTTTTGGTTTGTTCCTCCACACAAACTTAATAGTTTAATGCACAATTTTCTTTTAGACTCAGTAGGCAAGTATAATGTAGAAAACGTCCATGCCCTTTTTACCATTTTATTTTCATCTCACATGATTTGTATTAAAAAAATCATAAGTCTAATGGTTTTGTTGGTTGATTTTGTTTTATGTTTTCTCGCTGCGGGCAGGGAGCGAAGGTATGTTTTCAATTCTGGGACATTGTGGCTGTGGTTTAGGTTTATACTTGCCTGCTCGTTTTTTTCACATAGTTTTGTTTTTTGGTGATTGGTTTTTCTTATTAACCATCTTTTATTTCTGTCTAAGATTGCACAAAGTCATTAAAGCTATGCAAACTTGGATATTATGTCATATTATACTAGAAAATGGAGCTTATGCCAGTCAAAGTCATATATTTCCTTTAATGAACATTATTTATTTGTTCTTAATAATGTTCATTTCCAACTTAATCACTTAGACTTAAGAACTAATTTCACCTTTAGGTTATGTATAAAAACACCCTTTTTTGCTTTGCTACTAACAGTTTTAAGCTAAACCACTAATTAAACATAGGCACTTACAGATTTTATCCGTCAGCTTTTATTTAGGTTCATTGTACTTTGAGATTAATGCAACTAACTAGAACAATATTGATACAAATGTCTGCTTGTCAGTTAATTCTACAGTAGACTCCCTCTAGTTCGGCTTCGGTTGGATCGGCCGCCGGATGGTCCGGCCTGGTCTCAGGGGGACAAGTCACATCGTCACGGGTGAATTGCCTTTGACAGGATTTAACTTGAATGTTTAGTTTCCGGCCATAGAAGTAAACAGTTCATGTCAGTTTAGTTGACGGGTGCTTCTATGGGTGAATTGTTGCATATTACCTATGTAAAACTATGTTACATAACCTCAAAAATACCGAGAACATTTTATAAATAGTTTTTCTTCGGTCTAATAAGTTGAAATGCAGTGTATAATTAAATATTTCGGACCATTTTTTTATGCGGTAGGTTCCCCCATTATTATTTTTCAAACACCACAGTTTATTTGACAAAAAAAATTAAAGCAAAACAAAGAAATAGCCATCGTTAGCTTCAAGGTCAAGCTATCCGCTTGCACTGACAATCATCTGTTCTTTACACAACTGATGTCTGCTGTGCACTTGTTTGCTATCTCACAAAACAGTTTGTGATTGGGTGATTAGTAACCATGGCAACTTGTTGAATGTGTGGATGAAGAGAAACCAAAGAAAGAATAGAAGAACAAAGAAGAAAGAATAAGCAGTGTTTTACGTCATCTATTGTTATCTTTATCTTATTTGACTACTGTCGTTATTATCTTTAAGACTAGTTGTCTAATGTTTTCATCGACTTTCTTATGTTCTGAAACAACATGTAGTAGTAGCCTATGCAGACTACGGTAGCAGTAGCTTGCAGTACTAGACTTTCTATTTTTCTGTTCTTTACGTGATCTATTGCTGTACGTTCAGTGTTGTGTAATTTTTGTTTTGCTTGAGTAAGCGTGATTTTAACGTTACAGTTTTTATTACTGAACCAAGGTTATTGACTTAACATATCACGATTGCGCAATACTATTATTTGTATTTTGATTATGTAAAATGCACTACAACCGGTTAGTCCGGCCGTTTTGTAGTTCGGCCAGTGGTCCGGTCCCGAGTTGGTCGAACTAGAGGGAGTCTACTGTATTATGAAAGAGCAAATTACATTTGTAAAATGGACCATAAAGAAAAAGAGAGATTCACAGTTGAATAGTTCCACCGAACAACGTTTCAAGTGACAAAAAGTGAAAAGTTTCAGAAAAAATAAAAACGTTTTAGCCGCGTAATGCCAGTTTCCTGCGCATTCAGTGCTGCCAACCTATCTATTTTTAAAAACAAAATATCCCACGCAGTAGAGTGTCTCATTCGCATTGTTGTTATTAAAAAATCTCAATTTCACAAATTATGTTGTTTCATTCAACAGTCAACATTGAAGCTGTCAAACAACCGAACATGAAACCCACCTATAGATCAGCTTTAGTCTGTACAAAATGAATGTTTACTTGCAGTATCCAAGGTCAACAGTCAAACCAAATAAATAGCGTTGGTTCTGTGAATCATATTTAATTTGGTCTGAATCAGCTAGGCAAGATAAAATACAACACCCAATCTTACTGGGATATATCTTACTGTGTGTGTGTTCAATTGTACATAGCTGACAAGTTCTTAAATATCCATCTCTTGGTTTGATCATAGATAAAACATACCCTTAATAGATTTGTCATCCTTATGGAACACTGACGCCAATTTTATTGTTAGTTCTGTACGTCGCACTATAGAGGTCGTGTTTTGTTTACAAATTGTTTCTTGTTATTTCAGTCATTTAAAACCTCATTTAACCAAATAAAACGATCTTATTATAAACAATAACTGGTCTCCTTGTTATAACTAAACCGTAAAGCACAAATCATGAAATAGTCCTAAAGTAATGGAAACAAAATTCCATCTACACTAGCTAACAGTGTCGACGTACATGAACTAGACACGAAAAACTTGCTTAAAAATTTACAATGGGATGAGAAGTCTAATGGTTTGATAGACTGCCAAGCAAAAATGTGCTGTTTGTTTTGGATGGAATAATGAGCTAACTTATTTTTCTTTCTCTTTAAATTATTATAGACCCCTTGGGAAATCCTCTGTCCACTTCTTAAATTTTATATTACGGCCAAACTTTTACAACCATCATGTGAAAGAAAGCTATGGCTACATTACAGAGTAAATCATCTGTGTTTCTATTTATTTGATCTTTCAGTTTTGCATACTTTCGTAACCGATGGGGGATGTGGTTTACAGTTTTCCCTTTTAGTTTGCCATGATTAATAAGTTCCTGTAAAAATAGTATGTTTCATCACTAGGACTCTTTTTGACCCGAGGTCAAGTTTTACGATCGAGGCAAAGCTGAGATCGGAAAATGAGCGATGGTTAAAAAGACACTTTTTGCCTGTGTGGTGAACTATTTTTCGACATATTGTATCATTATTATAAAATACTAAGCTAGAAAACAAAATAATTGTTATATAAAGATAACCTCTCAAAACGATTTCCAACTTGTTTTCAATTCTGCTAATGCAAATAAGCAGCTGTTTAGTAAGTGATTCAATCATTTCCTCTATTACGATTGTACACTATACTAGATTATGTGATCGATATGTCGAGCTATCGGCAACAATAGGCTAAAACCTTCCCTAATGAATCAATTGAAAAATAATTTTGATCAATACGATTGTCGCAATCAACATTTTCTAACTGTTTACAACAGGTGATTTTTACTCCCTAGACTCTAAAAATGATTTTTACTCCCTAGAGAGTAAAAATGCTACTTTAGCCCCGCTACACATGCATTACAAACAGCTGTTTTTGCTGCAGTATGAAAAAAAATTATTTTTGTATACTAGCTCACTCTGACAGTTGCTGAATTAAACTAAATTAGTTTTACTTTTAAATCGGCTACAAATTTAACACGATAATTGAACACGTCTCCACACTAGTTTATCTTTATATAAAACTGTCCTGTTTAATAATGTTCAGACATTTCATTTAACCATGGTTTTGCAATGCTAAGATGTTATAATGTCTTTGTAACGTTACATTAGAGCTTAGAGCACTTTGTGTATAGATCATCACTTCATGTTGTGTCCTCAGACCATTGTGTGATAACCCACTAAAGTACATTAAAATACTAGTTTGGTGATTCATTCGGTGCACAGCTGTCATCTTTTGACCTATGTTAAACATATTCTAATGATTTTAGAGGGGGGGGGGGGATATTTATACTTGATGACATACATACCTCATTTTCAATTGAATTACCGGTAGTTTACATGCAGATTTACTAAATATATAGGTTATATTATAAAAGGCAATTGGCTAGTAAGGAATTTTTTGAAAAGGAATCAAGTTCAGCTGGTTTACCTGAGAAAATTCAGAGTCCAGGGGCTTAGTAGATACACAATAAAAGACACACAGCATAACTTTGATATTTTTTCCTGATGTAGGACTTTGTCAAAAAGTAGGTTGAAAAGAAAATCTGATAATAAAATTGAAGAAAATTTTCTCTTCAACCTACTGACTCTGAAGGAGTCCTAAATCAGGAGGAAATACCAGGGTTGTGTTTTGTGTTCTTTTTGTTGTGTAGCCTATACAGAGTGTTCAAAAAATGTGGGGACATGATTTAAGTAGTGATTCCTTGGGTCAAAATAAAGAGGAAATCATAGAAAATCTAAAAGATTGAATAAGAAATAGCTGAAATATTACAATTTTAGTTGTAAACAGGGGCAAACCTGACTAGCTTCTGCTTTATTCTAAACAACTAAAAATCTTAATATTTCAGCCATTTCTTGTTTGATCTTTTTAAACTTGGTTTCGTCTGATAGGGAATCAAAGATGCTAAATAAAAGTGTTCTTGACATTTTTTCATAAAATCAGTAATTTTTGAGTAATTTAAGTTTAAAAAAATTAAAATGGCCGCCATTTTAAAATTTTAAGTTGAATCAAGGTGATTTATTTTTCTAACATGGGTTTCTTATACATTACGGTAACATACTAAGTTTCATAAAGATCGGTTGAAAAAATGTTAAGGTAAAAATGTTTAGACCTAGGTAAAAAGTACAAAATGGCGCATATCTTGTTAACAAAGCGATTTTTGGAAAAAATGTTATACTTGATTTTCTCTTTATTTTGAACAAAAGAATCACTATGTAAATTATGCCCCCACCTTTTTTGAACATTCTGTATATTAGCCCCTGGACTCTAATTTTCTCTAGTAAGTTAAAATTCCTTAAAATTCATCAAGGTACATTTTTAAATTTTCAGTTTTTTGCCGTACCAGTTGAACAGTTCATATTTTAATTTGTTATTGTAATTTTGAAAGAGTTTGTTATTTGTAAATTTTAAACAAATATAATAAGGCTTTGAAAAGTCATTTACAGTTATTCTGTATTCAAAATCCATATGTGGACATGTGATTCATGGTTTATCAGCATAATTTGTACCTTATTTTGTTACTAAAACTGTATACAATAATTATTCATTAGGTTATTTTTAATATAAATTTTGTTATTCCTGTAAACCCACTTTTTTGGGAAGTCTGTGGTGTTTACTTTTGACAGAAATTCAGTTTGTGCGCCACCGAGGTGCACGTCAGAATGAATGTGTTAAGTGTATGGATAGAAGTAAAAAGCAAAAAGACACAAATGATATGACTGGCAAAAAAGAGTCATGTTAAGATACAGTTGATTTAAAAAATTTATTTTCCTTTACTTTAGTTTTATACAAAGCTTCAAATGTAGGTATTTAATGGTTTATTTCACTTTAATGGAGGTTAATGAATTTATTAAACATTTTTGTAGGTAGTCAACATTTTTGCATAATTACTTTATACAGAGTATTTTAATGGACAGTTTTAAGGGGTTACAAAGAAATCATATCGAGTGTAGAGTGAATTTAAAGAAGTTGTTTGAGTGTTGTGTGTTTTCCAGGGATATCTGAAGAGTCTGGGGATGGCGCGTACTGCTGAGGTCAAACGAGACGCAAGGATCGGGGAGGCGGAGGCTCGAAAGGATGCTCAGATCAAGGAAGCCATGGCAGAGGAGGAGAGGATGGCTGCCAGGTAAACATTGCTTCTATCAAGGTTATGTTTACCTATTGTCATACCTAAGTTGCACCACCTTAAAACTTACAAAAGCAAATGTAACTTCCTTATTCATTATTTCTTTGTCTTAAATTATTATCTTCTCCTCACAAAGATTGGAAGACAATCTGGAATTAGTTGCAGCATTATGACACAAAACATAACCTCAAAACTCCCACTTGATTACTAATGTTTTCCCAAAACAAGTTAGGCAAATAATGAAACTAAAAAATATACATGATAACTATTGCAGATGTACGGAAAAAAATTATTGACCCGATAAGTGTTTTTTTTTTTTTTTTTTTTTAAGCTATGCTTTAACCCACGATCATTTTTTACTTACTTCTTTTACATTACTTCAGGCTAGGCCTAGGGCTTGCATTATCACTTAGATAAAATTTATTTGTTATTGGTGGGATTTGAACTCGAGACCTGAGGGACCGAAGTCCCACGCTCTACCACTAGATCAGCTCGCTCCCCATTGACCAGACTAATGCTGTGATCCCTAAACAGTAATGTTGAACTAGCAATATCTCAATGGAACAGTTTCCTCAAGGAATGCCAGAGTGCATTAAAGGCGGGACAGAAATGTTCTCTCTGAGTATGCCTGTGGGTTAAGCTTGGTTTTTCAGTCGTTATACCTCTGTTTTTGTCAGTCTCTTCAGTGAGCTGATACAGAACAATTATTGATGGATTCCAATTGCATTTGTGTTAAACCTAGCATTTCACATAAGGTAAAGGACGCAGCCTTGAAGTAAAGTATACCTTGTAGCTTTATCCTTAAAGCTCTCCTCTCCCCCCACCAAATAACTATACCCCTCTGGTCACATTTTGGTGAAAAACTATACTTTATTGTGTTTTGCAGATTCTTGAACGATACTGAAATAGCAAAGGCACAGCGAGATTTTGAGATCAAGAAAGCAGCGTATGACGTAGAAGTACAAACAAAGGTAAAACTGTTCTTTGAATTTATTTGTTTTGTAAATAAAAAACCATTGGAGGATATTGTGATGAGTACAATCATTCGTCAAAAAGTGTACAACCTAATGAAGGGATTCATTCAACCTATTAGCATTAGCCTATTTGTCTTTTTCACTAAAAAGTTATACAGAATGCCCCAAAAGTGCTGGAACGATTTAATATTTTTTGAAATATAAAAAAAAATAGCTACAAAACTTTGCACTAAGTTACTGGACATAAAAATCTATTTTATCACATATTCAGTGATCCGCTACTTTCTCAGGGGGACGACCCACTAGGAGGCAGAAGAAAATCTTAAAAGTCAAAAAAAAGTAGTTAAAAGTAGGTTTAAGTTAAAAGTTATTGGTTTATATGCATATCAAGTTATAAGGTCTTTATTGTTATAATACATTGCCACAAATTTGAACACAAACGGACTACTGAGTGAAATATATGGCAGTCGTTCAAAGATTTCTTGAATCTGCCATAATTTTGAATCTTTGGACCACTGCCATTTTTACTCGGTCGTTATTTTGAGCTAAAATTTGCGGCATTGTATTCTACTAACAATGCCTTTTAATTTGATAGGCATTTTTTCATTCACAAAATTCACCTGAGGAGGTAGCGTTTAACATAAAATTGCAAATTCAATGCATCTTTGAATACCTGTCATTTTGGACTTGGTTATCCATTTGAGTTCGGGTTTGATATATTGTATTCTACTAATAAAGACCTTTTATTTGATATGCATATGAACCTATGCTAACTTTTAAGATTTTCTTTTGACTCCTAGTGGGCCGTCCTCCTGAGGAAGTAGCGGATCACTGAATATGTGATAAAATAGATTTTTATGCCCAGTAACTTTGTGCAAAGTTTAGAAGGTCTATTTTAAATATTTCAAAAATATTAAACCGGTCCGTGAATTTTGGCACAGTCTGTATGGTATAATGTTGATAACAATTCTCTTATCAGAATCATCAAATAAGACTTATTTCAAGCTTAACTTCTTATCGAGGTTTGCAAAAACATAGTGATGATTTTATATTCATAATACGTCAACTTCGCCACTGATGTATAAGGAAGGGTAATATAAAATTGAGGGTATTTCAATATGACATTTGATATCAGGAGCCATTTGTTATCAAGGGTCTTGTTGTTGAATAGACTGTAATTGATTAATAAATCGTCAGTAATAGATGATTGTTGCTGCTTAAGAATATAACTTTTGAAAGCCTAGTAGTTTTCTAGGTTATAGACTTTTAACCCAAATTATTTTATATCCTAATTTAAAATTGACAGTTAAGAGGGTTCTACCTGGTCAATTCAAGATGGCCGCTAAACATGCTAATGGTCCTGAACATACCTCTACACTACAAGCTCTCAACATTCTAAATCTATTCGTTTCTAATGATTGTTTGCTTGTTGTGCTCTTAGCATATCAGAGCTTGCAGTGGGTGGAGCAAAAATAATTTTTAACCAAGGTTTAGAAGTTAAAATCGCATGTGAATACTAATTTCTGTATTTCTGAAATTATTTTACAAATACTTAAAGAAACAATTACAAAGTTTCAGTAATTGGTTTGGACTTTTTTGAATATTTTACAGTTTATTTCAACTCGATAGACAAACACTTTAATAATGCTAGGAGGTTCTTTTTTTGTAGGAACATGTTTACGTGGTAAACAGCCGGCGGGTGGAACCCTTTTAAATTCCTTTTCTGATTTCGATTTGTTTCAATAAAAATATGTAAAATAAAAATTAAGTTAGTAGATTATTACATAACAATTCTGATGTGTATTTTATTGAAGGTATGAAACTCAAGCTGCATGAATCCAATAAGTCTTCATGGATATTATTGGACAATATGTGGGTATTCCACAGTCACATAGATCTGTTATCGTCAAACGACATCAAAGAGTTTGCACGGTTGTTGCCTTAAAACCTGATGAAAAAACCAATGGTTTCCATTTATTTATCAACCAATTTGTTTCCCTGTTTAATTCCTTTTAAGTCGGGGACCAAACAAGTCTTTTTAACAAATTATAAAATGTCAATATTGTTTCCACAATAATTCTGGATTGATATTTACATTGCAGAAAGCTGAGGCAGAAATGGCGTACGAACTGCAAGCAGCAAAAACAAAACAGAGAATCAAGGAAGAACAGATGCAGATCAAGGTTAGTCGTTTGTTTGAATACCTTTGTAAAAATTGCTTTTTCCCAAAGACTTGACACTTTATTTTACAAAAATACACCATTAGCCTACACCATCCTCAGAATGCTATGTAGGGAGTGCTTAAGCTGGGTTTTCCTAGGCGTGGAAGCGAGTCTGAACTCTTGGTTTCGGTAATTTGATGAAACTGTATTCCTAGAAGCGGAGCAGACCGCCACTGGACGAGTGGAATATCCCTTCTCCGCACTCCGGCGTAGGTCCTAAAAAACCCATAAATACATTTTTCTCTTCCAGGGTTTACAGGTAAGCTTGCTACTATGGTTTGTATTCTAGTTTCAATGTTTACTATTAACATTGCGCAGGTGGTAGAGAGGACACAGGAGATTGCTGTGCAGGACCAGGAGATACAGAGGAAGGAGAAGGAGCTGGAGGCGATGGTCCGTCGACCTGCGGAAGCAGAAAAGTTCAGGTAAGACAAACGGGATTACGCGCCTCTTGTTTGCCTTATACTCTAGATCTGAATACAATGATAATATTTGTTGAACAGGGTAGTTCAGTAGTGTTTGGATGATAAGCGAGACTGTAATGTATTATTCTGCATCAGCAGTAATCACTGCTTTGGTTGTATAAGTTATTTCCTAACCCGAAAAGAAACTTTACTCTAGACCAGAGGGTCTATGATGATGGGTAGTTGAGTTTGCGATATACTTTTTAGAATTTAAAAAATTGAAAGTGTCTTTCAAGAACTAAATAGTTTGTGTGGGAAAATAAAACTCTTCAGAACTTTCTACAACTTAGTTATATTTTACACTTTAAAAAAACAGGACAACAAAACGAACCTTCTCTAAACATTAATTCAACTCAACACACATTGGTCACCATGACAACCGAAATATCCAAAATCGTAAACATAAAGGACACTAGTCAGCTGATGCTAGTTCACAGCTACACAGCTACGCCCTCGAGGTGCCGACACAACTTACACTTTCATTTTTACTTTCAACTACTTTTCGCACATCTGCTATGTGATGAGGCCTGCCATTTACTTCAACACTTCTGGGTAAAAACTGTCCAGTAACCACTCCTTCCTTCCATCTCGAAGTACAGGATGGGTTTGGCGGCTTGACATACACACGTTCACCTACTGTAAAATGTGACCCTTCATACACTTCACCTTTTACAGGTTCACCTTTACATCGCCATTGGTACGAAAAAATCTGGGAACTCGGCGATGAATCGCCACCTAATCCTTCTTTAGGTGTCAAATTGTACCAATAGACCATTTCTTGGATACTCCCTTTAGTTCTTGCGGCCATACGCTTGATTGTTCTGTGGTTTCGCTCAACTATCCCGTTTCCACTTGGCCGGTTGACACACCTAAACACGACTTTAATACCCCATTTATCACAGAGCTGAGTAATCTCTTCGCATCGAAATGTTTGCACTATTGTCCATCAAAATCTCATGTGGTGGCCCTCGATCAGTAAACAATTCCAACAACACTTTAGAAATCTGATCTTTCGTCTCTTTTGGGATCCGGCGCCAAATGCAGAACCTACTTGGACCACAGTCCACAATGGTCATGAACTTGCTTTGACCATAGTGTGTTACGTCAATGGCAAGCCTATACCAATTGTTCTGGCAATCCAAATACCCAGGCTCCCATTTGATGCTGGATGGATCAATTGACAGACACTCTTTACAACTTTTCACAACTTCTTCAACAACTTTTGTGGTAAAGTTAATGTCTGGGTGACACCGTCTGGCGGTGAATAAAGTACGGTTAACACCAAAATGATGCAAGTCATGAACCTGTTTCACCAATGTCTTTTGGTCCACACTCTCATTCTCACACACAAGTGCAATGCTAGTCTCTTCGTTTCTTGCTAACCATTTTTTTGGCACTCTTGTAAGAAGATCTGCTTTGTTGAACTGTGACTTAATAAGTTCTATTTGTACATTGAGACCGCATTCCAAAATAATGTCTTTAAATAGGCTTAATCGTCTTCTAACCAAAACTTCACTTAACCCATGTGTTTTGATAGGACGGTCCCCCGTCAGTATAGATGACACCCAAGCATGAACTGTCGCTGAATCCGTGATTAATACGATCTTCTTTAACCCCCAACGCAGGGCCAAATTTACTCCTTTTAGGATAGCTTCCAATTCTGCTAAATTGATATGTGCTGAATCATGCTGCTTCCTCAGCCACGAAGCATCTTCGACTATCTCACCTTCAATTTCTAGACAAACTCCGATCGCTAGACTGCTTGCGTCACACCACACTTTTCCTTCTTCTCCAGGGGACACAGCCCATTTGCCAGTGGCTGGGTCTCTTTCATCGATTCGATCCATAATATTTGTTAACATAGTTTGCGCACGTTCACTGATCAAATCATCCCACTTCAGATCCGACAAATGTCTCTTAACGAAACTACATGCAGGTCGAAGCCAGCTTGCTACTGGATAGTGTCCAATCAATTGCCCACACAACGAGAAAACATCTTTCTTTGTTTTAACTTGGTCCAAAGGTTTTAATTTGTTATCTCTGTACCACATTAGCTTACATCCTGCTCTTCTCAGCCTTAGTCCTAATACTCTGCCTCCATCAAGCGTTTCTGCCGGCTTTGCTGTCAAACCATATGTTTCCAACAATCTAATCACAACATCACTACTGACGATTTCTTCATTAACGACGATGTCATCGACATATGAATCTGTGGCACTCCTAACTATCGGATCCATCGATAAAACCTTTTTAACAATACTGCTCATAATCTTTGGGGCAACGTTTAACCCAAACCCAAGTCGAGTTAAACAATAGTTTTCACCCTTAAATTTGACAACTTGAAATTTCCACAAATGTGGAGCAATATGAATTTGCAAGTACGCTTTACGAAGATCAACTGTACTCACATGTTCACCCAATCGTCTCCACAATCTTAACTTTTCACTACAAACCTCACTTCCAGCTGTATGGCTTGAAACGAATTGGTTAAGTTCTCTATAGTCCATTACAGGCCGCACTTTATCCTTATTTTGCTGTATGACAGCCATCAAAGGAATCACACCTTCAAACTCTCCATGATAGGGCTGCAGCCAACCACTTTTTATCCATTCTTCAACTTCAGTTTCAAAGGCTTCGGTAGCATTCTCAGGAATTCTGTACATTTTTACTTGATTTTCCAACATAGGCAGTCTGTTCACATCCTTCCAATTCCATTCCACTGTCCATTTTCCATCTAAAAATTCTGCCTTAAAATCACAGTCTTCAATAATGATTTTCTCTGCAGATTTCTTATCAATATTAATTTCTTGCTTGGATTCGATCTCCCTGATGATTTTCTGGTCACCGTCACCCTTTTGCTCAGATTCAGCCACTGCTCCAGTACACAAACCCTTTTTAAATTCTACGCCACCATCCCCCTGAATCGTAACTCCACCCATTGCAGAAATCGCATCCATTCCTAATAGCACCTGATAGTTTGGCAATAATCGAGCAACTAAACAGTTTAATGATAGGTTAATCCCACTAACGGACACCTCTGTCTCACACATTAAGTTACAGTCTACTACGTCCCCGTTCATCATTACCACTCGTTGACTTGTGGGCCTTATTAGTTTCTTAGACCTGACAAGACTCGGTGAGATAATAGTTCTTGAACACCCCGTATCTAATAATGCACAACACTTAGTTCCAGCAACAGTTACCATCAACGTCGGCAGTTGTGGTTGCGCAGTCAAACAAGGATAGCCACCCGCGCAACAAAGGGTGGCCCCTTTTACTCGTTTTTTTGAGCCTGTGAACACTTTGGAGCATAATGTCCTGCCTCTCCACAACGGAAACAAATTACATTCGAGGTGCTACTCGGCTTTCTTTGTGGGCATGATCTTGCTAGATGTCCTTCCGAGTTACAGATAAAACATTTTTTACTATACTGTCTTTTATTTACGGACACTTCCATCTGAGCGGCGGCTCCAACATTGGATTCACTTCCATTCACTAAACTTCTTGCCCTTTCTAACACTTTTGACAGCTCCATGTCTTGCAAACAACATGCCGCCTTTAACTGATTTTGAACTTCTCTGGGTAGTCCGTGAACAAAAGAACTCTTTATCCACTCGTCAGAAACTGAAGAATCTATTAATTTAGCCAACCTTTTCAAATCAGATGCGTAGACATCAACAGATTCTCCTGGAAGCAAACGTCTGGATATGAACTCCTCATACGCTTGGAAACAGTTAGCAGAGAAAGCCTGCTGCAAAGCTTGGGTCAGGGCGGAGTAATCACTCTTAACTGCGTCGGTAAGCCCATCGTAGACGGCAAATGCTCCTCCAGACAAAAACAAGGGAAGCACTGATTGTAGTTCTTTAACCTTCTGAAGTTTACATACAAGCTCCAACTTTTTCAGCCATTCCGAGAAGTCTCCTTCGCCATCATACAACTTTACCAAATCCGAAAATCTTGTACCGTTTCCAGACATGCCGAAATAGCTTGTGGGAAAATAAAACTCTTCAGAACTTTCTACAACTTAGTTATATTTTACACTTTAAAAAAAAACAGGACAACAAAACGAACCTTCTCTAAACATTAATTCAACTCAACACACATTGGTCACCATGACAACCGAAATATCCAAAATCGTAAACATAAAGGACACTAGTCAGCTGATGCTAGTTCACAGCTACAGTTTGTTTAAAGGAAAACTTGGCTTTAGATTTATTGATTATTGTTAACGAGAAAGGAAGAATACACAACTAACTCACCTGAATAAAGAGCCCCAGGGGGTTAACAGAACACATAACTACACATTAAACTGGTATGTGTTCTATTAAAACCCTCTGGGACTCTTTATTCAAGTGAGTTAGTTAGTTGTGTATCCTTCCTTTCTCCTAAACAATAATTCAAGAACTAATTAGTTATTTTTAGTCTTGTGTCCATTACTCTAGGTGGTACAATAATACTTAAACTAACTTTGACACTTAAAAAAACAATCTCCATTATTTATAGCCATGTAGGCCATTTCATGCATTAATATTGCAACTTTGTGCCATACCGCTTCTGTCCACAATCATTGAATATGAAGCTACGATAGTTCTAGTGACTTAAGTCTTGCATAGGAACCTTTTCTGATCCTGCCATTTATTGTAATTGTAAAGTAGATTTTGTTGTTTTTATAATAATATAAACTTTTCTATGCACTATTTCTGTCTTATAATTTGGTCTCAATATTGTGAACAGGTAATAGAAGTTCTACTTATACTGTTTTAATATCTAGAGTAAAAAATGGTAGATTCAAAATTTAACCGTCCTCTATTGTCCTCAGGCTGGAGAAGATGGCTGAGGCCAACAGACTCAGGGTGGTGATGGAGGCAGAGGCCGAAGCCGAGTCTCTGAGACTACGAGGAGAGGCCGAGGCATTTGCAGTGCAGGCCAAGGCCAAGGCAGAGGCCGAGCAGATGTCCAAGAAGGCCGAGGCATTCAAGGAGTACAGAGAGGCTGCTATGGTGGAAATGCTGCTGGAGACACTGCCTAAGGTGAGATCTATAAATTTATAATATTCAAAGATTATTTTCACCTGACATTTGATTGGTTCATTTGAGTTATAATGTCAATTTTTGGTGAGGATAAGTATATTGGTAAGTATATCAAGTTTGTAAGTCTCATTTCAGTCACTATCTTGTATAGACATGTACAAAGTGTTCACCTCCCCTTTATTCATACTCATATTATTTTATTTCAGGAATTTTTGTTTTTTATTTTGACTACCCTTCCTTCTCTGTGTATTTTTTTTATGTTTAAGCTTTGGCAGGGTTTGTTGACTATGTTTGATGTACTTTTTCACCTGATAAGATCCAGATCCAGAAACTTTGTAAACACTTTTTTACCAATTTTTGTTTTTTTCCGCAGATGGCAGCAGAAGTGGCTGCGCCGCTGTCCCAAGCCAAGAAGATCACGATGGTGTCGGCCGGCAACGGTGAGGTTGGCGCTGCCAAGCTCACCGGAGAAGTTCTACAGATCGTCACCAAAGTGCCGGAGATGGTCAAAAACATGACCGGGGTCGACATTATGAAGGTTCACTTAGCCAACTTTAAGTAGGGTCATCTTCACTTCATTCATCAACTGCACGGATCGTCTGCATACCATCTCATAGCCGTAGAGTAGTTCAGTTTTCACTGTTGCAAATATAAAATGATTTTAAATTAGTTAGGTACCCGTATCTTTGTTCTATCCCCAATGTAAGCGGTTTTTTAATTGAGAAGAGTTTTTTAAACTATTACTGCTTGGTTTTACAATTTTTTCCTTTTTTGAATAAGTAATTTGATTTTAAATGGGCTTGCTTTCTTTAACATTCATATTGAAGCAAAAATATTTAAAAAGCTATCATAATTTGCTATTATTCATGCTTAACTTAATTTCTGATAACCATTCAAAATAAATTCCTTAATTTTGTTTATGATCAGGCATTCATTTTATAAGTATTTTATATTTGTAACAAGTGGCATAGTCATATACTAGATACTTTATTATGTTTGATGTCAAAGTACAATTTAGCTAGTAAACATACTTTAGGTCGCCTTATCAAAATAGGATATTAAGTTGTGTCTGTATGTTGTTTTCTTTTAAGTTTTCTTCTTCCTTTTACCTTTTAGCAGTTCAATATATTCAGTTTTTATAAGTTTTTTATAGTTGATTGGCTATTTTTTTTTTTTTTAATCTTTACATTTTGTATTTTAATGGCAAATCCTGATCAAAAAAGATAATTTTAACTAAATGCGATTGGAACTAAGTTATATTTTTACAACAACAACTTTATATAACTTTAGAACTAGAATATTGCAAGAACTTTTGTTCTCTTTACATTATTAGTTAAACATAGTTGTTTTAAATTATTTTAAAATTTAAAAACAACTGTTTTAAGTTTGATGGATTTTCAAATCCTCAGAATTAATTCTGATCTTAACTTTGGTTTCTGACCTTGTTTTCCTTTTATTTTGAATTCCTATTTATACATATATTATTTGTGTGTTTGTGTTGTTATAGTTTAGATATTGTATAGATTGAACTTGTAGAAGCCCAGTATCAAAAATCATGTGCCAAAATAACTTGTATTTAGTTTAGTTTTTAGTTTGCTTTAGAATAAGTTAATCCCCATGACCTTTATTGATTATTTTGTCTACAACAGTCAATATATAGGCATTCATAGACATTTGATTTTAGGTTTTTAAAACTCCATGCAAACTATCGTGGATATATCTCATCATGTTTATTTCCTATAAATGTTTTATACACAATATCTTGTTTGTTTTACTATAAATCATTAATGAAATTGTAAAGAGTATTATTTGTAAATCTATTTGTGTAGTAAATAAGGTGACGAGGAACAGTACAAATAAATTTTCTACAAATATCTACAATAAAAAAAGATTTATTGAACAAAATTTCTTTTTTATCACCAAACCTTTAAAAAACTATGCTGATCTTTAGTAGTTGGGCAATGGTGTTAGTTAAACCTGAGGTATGTATCTTTTTTGTAGATAACAAATTTGTAAAAAATTCAGAAAAGTTTAATGACCCGTCTTTTTTATGCATTTAAATAACAAAAGTTGTTACAAAACAAAAGATGTTATCAGAGGTGATTATGAAATTGTTGTACCCGGTACTCTTTTATTTAAAATAATAATTACCAAGCTAGAATATTTATAATGTCTAGGTCAAAAAGATTGACAGGAATGTAGATTTGTTTAAACCACATGTATGTATTTTTGAGCATGAGCGTAAGAATTGTGTGCATAGAATACTGTTCAGGGGTAAAATAATCTTTTTACTTGTGAAATATTGTGAGGTTTAAATCTGTAAAAATCTGTGGACCTCATAGTTCAATTCTCGTTTCCCCGATCCTAATCCATATTAAAAAACCAACCCTTTAATTGTGTAGAATTTAGTTTGAAAAAGGTTTGGCTTTTTTGTGTCTTTTTTATTAGTAAAAAGACTAGTGTTGCATGTAAAAGGGTTTAAAATGGTCACTGAATGTCTGAGACATTTTAAAACAGTTCTCAATATTTCAGATTAGTTTATTTTTAGCATACTAATTATCCATAGAGGCCCAATAAAATAACTTTTTTTTAATAATTATTTTGCTTCATCGTTAGAACTGTGAAGTATTTTTTTTTCAGTTTTTTATGCAAACATTTAATAATTTACATTGCACTTCATTCATAAATCATCATCAAACATAACATGCTATCATATTTCATCTCCAAATATTTTAAACATAACCTTAATTTAAATATGTTGGGGAGGCGTAATCCCTATCTTTGTAATATAATTGTAATATAATATAATCTTTAATATAAGGAACATTTTCTCAAAAACTATTTAACATAGAGAGCTGACATTTTTACCTAACATCAGTCACACCTTAGTATATGTGCTGAGTTTGTCTTACAAAATCATATAGTTGGACAAAAATTTTTTTTAACAAATAATAAATTTTTAATTTTTTTATAGATTTTATATTTTATAATATTTATTTAAACAGTACATAGGGCGTTTAAAAAAAACTCAGTTAATGTGAACATGTGACCTAAAGACTGTGTAAAAATTTCAAGTTGATATGTAAAATATTTGTGGAGAAAGAAATGTTCCTTTTGTGGCAAAAATTAGGATTTTGGAAAACGTGTAAAAACCTTACTATATCAAATGCATTACTTACTTTTAATACATTCCGCTCATATAGGCAGGGGTTTCTTTATGATTTTTTTATTCAATGAAATGAATTGCAAACCTATATATATTGTATGTCAATGGACTCAGAAAGACTTATAATTCATAATATGCAATAAAAAAATACTGACAATTTTTTTTTTTTTTACTGTACGCCTCCCTTTTTTTATATAAGGTTTTATTATCTGTATTATTTGTCAGCCAATGAAAGCTAATACATTTGGAAGGACAGTTTTTTTATCTAAAAAAAAAAACTTCAAATAGCCTAGTAGAACTTTCACTGAAACAGAAAAAAATTAAATGCCATTTCAGCTGAGTTCTGCTGCCATTTTTTGTGAGTTGTATAGTTAATATTTTGTTACAGTTTTCTCTCTATAATCCGACACACGTGGCTATCGTATTTGTGTTCTGATTGGACTGAATATTGATCAATATCAATATAAAATGTCCGTTTCCTTGCAATATCCTGTGACAGGATAGTAGGAAGCTGCAAGCGTTCCTACATTTTATACTTTAAATACAGGTCACTTAACGATATTCAGACCTATAATCCATTGCTGTATGTAAATGTTGATAAACTAAATTAAATTATGTGTTTTTTTTATCAAAATCATAGAATTGTTATAGAATTATCATAAAAATTTTATAGAAATCAGAAATCTTTAGTTGTGCCTATAACTAATAAGTTACCCACTAGTATTCAAAGAGTATATAACAAGGAAGGCATTATCATTAACTTTTATGAGCTTATAGGTATTTATTTTTGTCAGTAAACAGATACAGTAAATGCTTAAACTGAATAATTTGAATCTTTAATAGTCAAAGTAAAAAGTTGACTCTGTCCTTGGAGGCTAGTGGCCATCTTTGATGATTTCAAACAGATGCTGAAGAGTTAATTATCATCCAAAAATAGCTTTTAAACACCAAAGTTATTATAATTTAAATATCTAGGATACTGTGGGATTAGAAATTTTCTTTAGGATTGAATTTTTTCCAAGGGAGTCCATGGAAGCCAACGGCCATCTTGGATTTGTCTGCCTTTAGAGCAATGTTAGTTTCAAACAGCCGCTGAAGAGTTAGTTATTTACCATATCAAAATATTATTTTCAAATACCAAATGGTTTGTAATTAGCCTCACACATAAGCGCCCACAAAGATTTAAGCTTCTAACCCCACAGTGCACTGTGAAATAACAAATTTTCTTTGTAGTTTTTTAGTTGTTTATTTTTACAAGTTAGAAGGTCTAGGCTCCAATAAAGACTCTATAACCTTGTAGTTTAGTTTTGTATTAATGTCAGTAATACACCTTGTTACATTATCGATCCCGTTAGTGTCGGATTGTTGAGAGTGAACTGTACTTTTCATTTAGTGTTTCTTAAATCATAATCAGCTGATACGTTTAAAACAATCTTGTAATCAGTTTTTACATTAATTATAATGAAATTGTAACTCACATCAAACATGGAGGTGGTACACAGTTGCGGTGTGTGTTGCAGTCGGTGCACGTCGTGTAGACGCGAGCGTAGACCCGAGGACGAGTGACTAGTGCTGCCCTCAACCAGCCGATCTCTCGACATCGCGAGTGATTACGACTCAAACTGAACTGCCAGCCCAGGTCTGTACTGTTGGTCTTCCTTGCCTTTAGAATGTGTGAATTTAAAATTCCTGCCAAAACGAGTACGAGTTGTTAATTTTTTTAATGTAGCCTCAAAACTGTGACCTTACGATTAAATTGGAAACGATACAGAGTGTTTTGCCAGATTTTGTGTTTTCAAGGGGTATAGTACAGGCATACATCCATTGGAGTTTTAAAAGGGTTTTTACCTACGACTGTTTTTTAAAGTAGCCGTTTCAGTAAAGTTCTTAGAATTGAAAAGTATCTCATATCAGCATTGTTTACTTTCATAACAGCATAGTTTTACCCATAACAACACGGGTAACGGACCAATAAGGTTCAAGGATTGAGAGAGAAGAAGTTAAATTGTAACGATTGAAACTTCAACTAATCAGCTGTTCAGGCCAATTTAATTGTTGAGTGGTGCAATTAGTGTTTGGTACAATGTTTCGTTGCATCACTGTCAGTAGCAATGAGAGGATATAAAGTCAAACATAACCTCTCTTAGAAGTTATGAGTAGTGATTTTTAGTAATTAAAACACTGTCGTAGGTAAAGTAGTTTACGCAACTCGCGTAAATAGGTTCATACCTTAAATTTTCTACTTGTGTCGTTAGCACTATCTTTACGCAATTGTTGCGTATACTACTATAAATCCAATGTTACTAAATAGGTATTTTAACCTTTAACCTAGCATCAAAGGGATGCAGAGGGTAAAAATGATGCTACTATATTTACCCCAAATCAACACTGACAAGGCCTATAGCAGTCAAGATGGATTCTGAAAGTATGGATGTACCGTTTTTGTACTGTACCACAGGCTTAACATATAGTGGATATTGGTATACATTTTAAAACCTTTCTCATAAATAAAATGAAAATATTTCTCACAAAATCTGACTTTTTTTCTTCATTAGTCAAATCAGGGAAAATATTGAGGCCTTCTGGAATTTAAGAGTAAATACATGGTAAATAATTTAAAAAAATGTTGGGATTAAATCAAATCATAAAATAGTAATTCAGCATTGTTTTTGGAAAGTTACTGTCACTAGTGCAGTTCATCTACTTTGGAGACATATAGTCTGTATGATCAAATCTATCTCCTCACCAGAGGTTTACCTGGGGAATGGTCAATGGTTTAAAGACTGACGGTAAGGAGACAGGTTCTATCATACAGACTATAGACATCCTTACTGTGTTTGTGTCACAAAAAGGATGTAGTTGATAAAAGGATTAGAACAAACTGAAATACCTCTTGCAGGTTTTACTATAAAGCTAGGTACAACCTAAATATAGCAGTGGGATGCCTACTTCATGATAAGTGTTTCTGTAATCAAAAAATTACTGAAGACTAGGTTTTAAGGTTATCCACCAAATTTATTCACAGTTAAAGTATAAATTTCTGAGCATGACACCTAGCACCGAAGTACCTTAATCCTTGATTAGATTATTTTATAACAAATTTCCTATAAATTACTTGTGAAGACCAACAATACAGATACTCTCCTTCCCAATCCTCTATTACTTTGATGATCCTCACTTCAGTTATGAGCACTGAATTCTATTTTCGTATCTAGAGTCCATAGGAATAGGATCCAGGACACGAGTATTTTTATATCTAGATTGTTAATTACTGCTAGCCTATTGTCATTGTTTAATTCAACAACTAGATCAATGAGTAGTAAAACTGAGGTCAAATTTGTAATTCCGAATTAAGAAACCTAATTGTAAAAAAAGGGAGGACGTTTTAGTACTGTTGTGTAGCCAATGGCACTAAATGTTGTGTCTACAAATTGAGATGGCAGTTTCTCCATCTTTGTTTATATCGGTGTGTTGCACAATATAACCATCACATGGCCGAAACATCAACACCATATAAAACGTCCTGTCTTTTCTTTTTCTGTGACTCGTACACTTTCCCCACTCAAACCAAATGCATATTGAACTGTATTAGTTATCGCTACTAAATGATCAAAATGTTTAAATGTTTTTCCAATTTTGTGTCAAATTCCCTTGCTTGTGTTTTGGGACCATTACCTGTTAT